GGGGGGGGAGGACAGTCGAGGAGGGAGCCCTGCCCCAGCTGGCATGCGCACAGGCAGGTGTTAGGGGAGTCGCCTTGCCCACCCGCGCTGGGCTCAGACACGGGAGGGACCCTGGATGCAGTAAACTCCACGATCGTGCTGTGTGTCCGACTCCACTGTGTTTGAAAGTGTTTGAGGCCGGGCGCGGTGGCTCACGCCTGTCATCCCAGCACTTTGGGGGGCTGAAGCGCGCGGATCACAACGTCAGGGGTTTGAGACCAGCCTGGCCAACATGGTGAAACCCCGTCTCTACTAAAGATACAAAAAATTAGCCTGGCGTGGTGGTGGGCAGCAATCCCAGCTACTCGGGAGGCTGAGGCAGGAGCATCGCTTGAACCCCGGGGACGGAGGCTGCAGTGAGCCGAGATCACGCTACTGTACTCCCGCCTGGGTGACAGAGCGAGACGCCATCTCCAAGAAAGGAAGAAAGAAAGGAAGAAAGGAAGGAAGTGTTGGTAGTGAAATTAAAAGATTCTGCAGGAAAACTGTGCGGCGCTGAAACACAGTCACTGCACAGCCCGAGATTCCACCCCACGGGTCTAATCCGGAGGGAGGAAGGAGCCGTAGGTCCACACGAAAACGCACAGGCGGCTCCCAGCAAAGCTTCGCACGGACGGATGCAGATGAAGCTGCCCAGATGTGCACCCACAAACGCAGCGAGGCCCCCCACAAGCTGGAGCTCGAGCCCGCGGAGCAGGAGCCCAGCTCGGACCCAGGCCACCGCGCAGGTGCCGCTTGAGGGAGACGCCACAGGACACAGGGCGTGTTCCGGTTTCCATGGAATGTCAGCACAGACCCATCCAGACACGGGACCGGGATGTGTGGGCACCGGGGCTGGGGAGGGGACGGGAGTGACGGCTGATGGGGACGAGCCTCCTTTTGGGGAGCTGGGATGGCAGGATGGGGCCTTCTTTTGGGGTGTTGAGATACAAATGGGGACAGAGCCTCTTTTTGGGGTGCTGGAATGACAATGGGGTGGGCCTTCTTTTGGGGTGCTGCGATGACAGTAGAGACAGGCTGGTTTTCGGGGGGCTGGGATGACAATGGGGATGGGGCCTGTTTTCAAGGTGCCGGGGTGACAGTGGGGGTGGGGTTTCTTTTTGGGGTGCTGGGATGACACTAGAGACAGGCGTGTTTGTGGGGTGCTGGGGTGACAGTGCGGATGGGGTTTCTTTTCAGGGTGTTGGGATGACAGTAGAGACAGGCCGGTTTTCGGGGTGCTGGGGTGACAGTGGGGATGGGGCCTCCTTTTGGGGTGCTGGGATGACAATGGGGATGGGACCTGTTTTCGGGGTGCTGCGATGACAGTAGAGACAGGTCTGTTTTCGGGGTGCTGGGATGACACGTCACGGTGGTGGCTGCCCAGCTCTGTGAAGGTGCTCACGGCCCCTGAACCGCAGCGTGCAGAGGGACCCCTTTGCTATGTGAGTCGTAGCTTGATGAAGCTGTTACTAAAAAAGAAGACCCCGGGACGCTGTTCAAGGCCCAGCCTCAGGAGCGGGCAGGGGGGAGCGGGGAGGGCGGGCGTGACCCTGCTGGCCTGCAGACCTGGCTGCCGCTCCCGGCCTGGCCAACGCCGCCCCCTCCTGGAGGAAGCCTTGGGAGTCACAACCTCCCTTTTTAAAGCAGGGGAGGGCCGGGCGCGGTGGCTCACGCCTGTCATCCCAGCACTTCAGGAGGCCGAGGCGGGCGGATCACGAGGTCACGAGTTCGAGACCAGCCTGGTCAATAAGGTGAAACCCCGTCTGTACTAAAAATACCAAAAATCAGCCGGGCGAGGTGGTGGGTGCCTGTAGTCCCAGCTACTCGGGAGGCTGAGGCAGGAGAATGGCATGAACCCAGGAGATGGAGATTGCAGGGAGCTGAGATCGCGCCACTGCACTCCAGCCTGGGCGACAGAGCGAGACTCCGTCTCAATATAATAATAATAAAATTCCCAGGGAAACAGGTTTGTCGGAGGCCGCACAGCCAGCATGGACAGAGGGGAGCTGGGACTCAGGCTCTGAGCATTTCTTTATCATGATTTATTGGTCCCTCCCTGTCCCTCCCACCTGTGCTCATCCACCCCGCTGCACCCCTGGAGGGGAGGGGTCCTGTGGAGACAGCGAGGCAGTCCCCGTCACCCCAGGACATCAGGCCGGATCAGCCGGTGACCTTCCTGATCCAGGACACGTAGGGCGCCACGGTGGTGGCCACAGGGGGCCTGAAGACGTCGGTGCAGACCCTGGAGCTGAAGGACAGGACTCCGGCCAACACCTGGTCTTTGCCACACACGATGGGCCCACCCGAGTCACCCTGCGGGGATGACACGCTGCTGCTCAGCCTCTGCCTGCCGAGGGGACGAGGGGAGCAGGGCTGGGCCTGTTATCCCCGGGCTCAAGGAGACACAGGGGCTGCCCCAGCGCACACGCGTCCCCTCCCACCTCCCACTGGCCCTGTGAACAGGGCTCCTTCTTCCCACCCCGGATCATCCTTGCTGGAGAAGCCACAGCTCTGCTGCTTCCCGGCCGTGTGGCCTTGGGCGCGCTGCTAAACCTCCCTGAGCCTCAGTTTCTACACCTGAGAAACGGGGCCCCCGCCAGTGGTCCCCGCCCCCCAGCCCCCGGCAGGACTTCCCAGGAACGGGAGAGCCAGGGGCCTGCCCGGGTGGCTGCCCTGGCCCCGGCCCTCCCGCCAGCCTCGTTCCCTGGCCCCACCCGGGCGCCCATCACCTTGCAGGGAGCCTGGTCCTTGGAGTCGGCCTCCAGGCAGACCACGTGCGGGGAGAGGCTGCCGTTCCAGAAACGGCTGTTGTTACACATGCGGGTGTCCAGCACGCGGAGGTCCAGCTCCCGCAGCACCCGGGACAGGCGCCCGCCCTGCTGGGTCAGCCCCCAGCCGGCCGTGCTGCACCGAGTCCCTGCAGCCACTGCCTGGCGCTTACCGGGCAAGGCCAGGGGCCGGACGGTCCGGCTGGGCTTCACTTTCCCGTCCAGCTACAGCGACAGGAAGGGGCAGGTGAGCAGGGGGAGGGGGCGGCAGCGGGGGCGGAGGGAGGGGCAGCGAGGGGAGGTGATGGGGAGGGAGGGACGGCGGGGGGAGAGGTGCGCATGTGGGGTGAGGGGTGGGGGCGGCTGAGGGGAGGGGGCGGCAGTGAGGGGTGGGGGCGGCTGAGGGGAGGGGGCGGCTGAGGGGGAGGGGGAAACGGGCTGTTGTTAAGACATTATGCGGTGTCCAAAGAATGCCACGTCCAGGCTCCCGCAGAGCACCTGGACAGGCGCCCGGCCCCTGGGCCAGCTCCCCAGGCCGCCGTGCTGGGTGACCAGTCCCTGGGCAGCCACTGCCCGCGCCACCGGGCGCGCCAGGGGCCGGACGCAATCCGGCTGGGCTTCACTTCCGCGGCCCAGCTACAGCGACAGGAAGGGGCAGGAGCAGGGGAGGGGCGGCAGCGGGGGCGGAGGGAGGGGCAGCGAGGAGGTGGATGGGAGGAGGGATGCTGGGGGAGAGGTGGGGTGAGGGGTGGGGCGGCTGAGGAGGGGGCGGCAGTGAGGGTGGGGGCGGCTGAGGGAGGGGGGCGGCTGAGGGCAAGCGGAGGGGGCGGCGGAGGCGACAGCGGGGGAGGGGCATGGAGGGGGTGCGGGGGAGGCGGCAGGGAGGGGCGGTGGTGGGGGAGGAGCTGACAGCGGGGGCGGCAGGGAGGGGGCGACAGGTGGGGAGGCGTGGGAGGGCTCATGGGTGGGGAGGAGCGACAGCAGGAAGGCGGCAGGGCGGCGGGGCGGGGCGGAGGAGCGACAGTGGGGGCGTGGCAGGTGGGGAGGCCAGGGAGGAGCCGTGACAGCGGGGGAGGGGGCGGTGTGGGGGAGGAGCCACACAGTGGGGCGGCAGGTGGGGAGGCCAGGGAGGAGCCGGGACAGCGGGGGGAGGAGCGACAGTGGGGGAGGAGCGACAGCAGGGGGGGCGGTGGGGGAGGAGCGACAGTGGGGGACGGCAGGGGGAGGGGGCGGCAGGTGGGGAGGCCGGGGGAGGTGCGACGGTGGGGGAGGAGCAACAGCGGGGGGAGGGGCGGCGCGGGCAGTGGGGGGTGCGGTGGGCGAAGGGAGCAGCGGTGGGGGGAGGGGTGGCAGCGAGGGAAGTGGGCAGCAGCACGGGGAGGGGACAGCAAATGGGGAGGTGGCCGGGTGGGGGCAGGGGACAGCAGCAGGAGGCAAGGGGGCACCCGTGGGGGACGGTACGGTGCCCAGTTCTCCCGGTCCCATCCCTGCACACCTGAAGCAGCGCCAGGTCGTTCTCCAGGGCAGGGGCCGGCTTGTAGCGAGGGTGCTGGACGGCTGCCTTGATGTGGAAGGTGAGACCGAGGTGGCCCAGGGCATGAAGCCCCAGCACCAACCTCAGCTGGGCCGTCCTGAGGACAGACGGGATGAGGGTGCTGCGGCCTGGCCCAGCGTGGACAACGCGCCACATACAATCCTGGCCCCCACTGTGCCGGTTGCCCACGGCCATCACTCACAGCCACTGCCCCTCACAGGCCTTGGCTTGGCCAGTTCTTCCCTGTGTCTGCTCAACCCACCTCCTCCAGGAAGCCCTCCCTGCTCTCACCCCTACCCCAGACTTCTGCCTGGGCCTGGCCCCAGGCAAGGGCTGTGTGTCCAGAAATCCAACCCCAAGCCTACAGCTTCACGAAAACCATCCCTGGGAATTCCCTTCACTTGGGGCCCCAGGTTCAACCACAGTGATTTGTACAGGGGTTGACACCTGCCAATTCTCCTACGTGTGCCCCCACTAGAGAGAGCCAAACCCTCTTTCCACGGGACTGAGGGGGTCAATCTTTGTCGCCTTGTGAGACAGGCTTCCTGGCAGTGCAGTACAGCTGGGAGACAGACAGGCTCCAGAGTGCCTCCTGTGAGCACCTGGATCGAGCCACACCTGAAGCTAGACCTCCTGCTAGACTTTGCAGTTACACAAGCCAGCAGATCCCTTTTTGTTACTTTGACCATCTTGATCTGGGCTCTGGAGGACTAGCCAGTCCTGAGGTAGGACAACTCCAAGATGGGTCATTTAGTGGCTTCCTGATCCCCAGGAACCAGGTCGATTCCTGAGCCACTCCCAAAGGCCGGCTTCGTCCTCCTGGCCACAGGTGGCAGACACCCCCACCTGACCCTCCTTCCTCGGAGCAGACGCCCCAGACTAAGTTGGGTCCATCAGCGGGTGAATGGACAGACACAGTGCACTCCGTCCACACCAGAACTGTGGCTCAGCCGTGAAAGCAGCCAGGCTCTGACCCGGGCTGCAGCGGGGAAGGAGCGTGCCCTGCCAGTGCCTCTCGCAGTGAGTAAACCTTCTCCAGGAGACCGACAGTCGCAGGTCACTCAAATCTGCCCAGGCCGTCACCGGGAGGGGAGAGGGCTCCCACAAGTGGCCTAAATCTCCCAGAGCCCACCCCCTGCAGAGAATGGGGGCTGTGGGATGGATTCCCCGGACCCCTGGGGCAGGCAGGGCAGGGTACTCACCGCTGGACCAGGCAGTGGGCAGCCGTCAGCACCCACTTTGGGTGCACCAGGACCCCGCCGCACAGGTGGGAGCCGCCTCTCTGCAGCGAGGCCATGTACGGGCGCGAGTGGGGGATGACCTCCCGGCCCCCGATGATCTGGGTCTCAAAGGAACTGCCTGCCGGGGTGGGGGACAAAGAACCAGGTTGGGCTACATGTTGCCCCAACACCTGCCACGACTGTCCTTGCCCAGCTCAGAGGCCCAGGACCCCAAGCAGATGTGCCATCCTAATGAAGTCCTCAATGTTCCACGTGGGGGCCGCCCTTCATCCCTGCCACCCCCCTCATGTTCCCCCCACGTCGCCTCCCAAACGCCCTCTCCAGGACCTTCTCAGGCCCCACTGGGCCCCACAGCCCAGGCAAGTCCACAGCCAGAGGAGTCCTTCAAAACGCACATCAGGGCGGAGGCGGGCGGCTCACGCCTGTGATCCCAGCACTTCAGGAGGCTGAGGAGTGAGGATCACTTGGGGCCAGGAGTTTGAGACCAGCCTGGGCAACACAGGAAGACCCAGTTTCTTTTTTTTTTTTGAGAAGGAGTCTCTCTTTATCGCCCAGGCTGGAGTGCGGTGGCGCGATCTCGGCATCTCGGCTCACTGCAAGCTCCGCCTCTCGGGTTCACGCCATTCTCCTGCCTCAGCCTCTGAGTAGCTGGGACTACAGGCGCCGCCACCACCTCGGCTAATTTTTTGTGTTTTTAGTAGAGACGGGGTTTCACTGTGTTAGCCAGGATGGTCTCGATCTCCTGACCTCGTGATCCGCCCGCCTC